CTGCAACGCAAAAATCGATTGCAACAGGCGCAGCGGATCGTGTTTTTTTTTTTTTTTTACCGCACTCAATTGTCACTGTGTGTTATCCGACATTTTCGCTTATCCGACGTTCTGCTGGCCCGTTTATGTCGGATAAGCGAAGGTCGGTTAAACGAGACTCTACTGTATATGGGAAATTTTTATAAAAGAGAAAAGGGGTCAGAAAAAGATTAGATGATTTGTCTTCTTTTTAACTGTTTGGCAAAAACTCTTCTTCTTGGATAATTTAGTCCAAACACCATTTGGGTTCCCTCTCATTTCCAATGCTGCGCAAGATGTTATACGTTAGTCCTGTAGAGGCAGTAAGCATTTTCAAGCTTTAATAAAAGAAATATCCTCCTGACATGCTTTTTTAAAAAAAATTAGAACAAGACCTTGTTCTTGTGAATCCTGTTATCTCCTTGGACATTTTCACAGAAGAAAACAGCATTGCCTCTGCCCAGTTACATAGGCAGGTCTTTGTTCTTTCTAAAAATCCTCCACTGCCTGGCCTTTGAGGATATGCAAACTTGTGAAAAAATTCTGGCCCGCAGACAAGGGCCACGATACTTGTAGTCTCCTTCTTCCACCCGGCTGTATCCATGCGAATGACTCAAACGTTCAATTTCTTCAGTTTCTTCATAGGTGGCAGACCGTGGGATGAGGGCGACTTGTGTTAATCAGCAACATTGTGCAGATGGGGCTTCAGTGGCAGGCTGAGAGAGTTTGTGGTTTATCGTTCTTTGCACACAGATCCCTCTGATTCTTTTCTCTTCTAAGACATAGCACCTCGCTTATATACTAAATGTAACTGTAAGGTTCGGTTTGAAAAGCTTCAGTTTCTGTTTCCACCTTAACTGCCCCCTGAACATCTGCGAAACCAATCACCCAGTAGTGCCTTTGCAAGCACGGCAGTTCTGGAAATCGTGCTGATCTTGGAACATTTGTTTCCTTCCATTTCTTCCATCTTCAGACTCCCGGTTGGATTTCCTTCTTCCCAGGTCTCAAAGACTACCCGACTCCTTTCCCGAACTAACAACTTCCATTTGGCAAGGAGCAGAGAGCTGTCTCCTTCCAGATTGCTTTCTCAATAATGTAACTCCGTTTCAGGTTTCCCACAAGCAAGCGTTGTAATTTTTATTATTATTTTTATGATTTTTTGGTGCATTCAAGAACACCCAGGTGGCTTTGTGCCTAAGGTGGGACTAGAATTCATGGTCTCCCTCTTTCTAACCTGATGCCTTAACCACTAGAGACTAGAATAAGCAGGATGTTTTCTGGTCATCTCACCTGAATAATTTGCAAACTATTATTTATGGCTGGTCAGCCATTGTAACTATGTTTAATCTAACATGGTACAATGTTAATGTGAATCCATCTGTATTTGGAGGGGGGAATACTACTCTCAGAGCTGATGGGTGCTTTAAGATCTAATCTGTACTTTAATCTGTTTTGTCGTGGTTTAAAACCAGATGTGTAGGAAGAAATCCCAATCCGGGGTGGAGTCAAAACCATGTGGCACAGATATGAACACATTATGCACATCATTTAGCTCCATCCTCCTCCATTGTTGGTGGGAAGATGATTCATTCGGAGGTGAAACAACATCCTGACGTCCTGGAATTTAGAACTGAGAATGATCAAAAAACAAAATTGACACTTACAAGAGAAGGACTTCCATTGTAATCAAGCAGCTGTGAATGAATTGATTCTGGGAAGGAAAGCCCTAGACATTTCTAGTAGCCCTGTCCAGCCACAAGTTGTATCTTCTACACAACTTGGCATATCAAATTTTTGTACCACACAAAATTGCTACCACTTCTTGGCTATATATTCATTGAATAGAATAGATTTTTTTGGGTTACAGTCACTGACCAGAATTGTATTCATAATCATGTTATAGATGGAAATATTCACTTAAGCCATAAACAGAAAAGGCATCCTTGTTGGGGACTTACCAGAAGACTTCCCAAATCTGGTATACTCCAGATTTGCTGGGACTAATTCCAAGGATTCTGATCCAGCTTAGGCAAAGTTGCATTCTTAATACATCAGAAAGGTGTCATGGGGGAGAAGGAAGTTAGATTACAGGACAGATTATATTAGGTCTTGTGAAGAAGACCAGAATTTTGAGACCAGTTACAATCTGCTGAAATTGTCAAAAGGCTATTAAACTGTAGAGAAAAGTCATTGAATTAATTTCAGGCTGCAAAAATAAAACTATCCTTTTCCCATAAGTGATATGGGTTCATGTTGAGCATTAATTTCATTTGAAAAGGGTATTTACATTGTACATGTATAAGTCGTGCAGTGTAGTTTTTATTTGATTTGACTGAAATGTCAAACCTATTTGAACTTGGACTTGATGTAGAGTATATTTTTCCCCTTTTCAGTTTATAAAGATTACATTTAAAAGGGGGTGCTAAAAGAAAATCAATCATGGAAGGTGATTTTAAAATACACTTTGATTTTCACTGTAATATTCATTCTCTCCCTCTCGCCCTGCTTCCTGCTTGAGAGGAATGATAAGAATTATATCAGACAAACCCTCAGCAAATGTTATGTGCTTTATTTTAAGCACACATTACAGGCAGAGAAACTATGTGCCAGAAACTAGTGTGCCATGCTTCTTCATCAAGGCAGTTGTCTGGAACAATGTTCTATTTCCTTACCTCTAAAAGTTCAAATGAGTAATGCCAAATCAAAAATCAACTTTCTCCATAGGATACTTTTTAAATAGCCAGTTACGGAGGTCTGGTCTGAAGCATGTCCCAACGTTTTTAAGTTCAATAGGATTTTTTATGGACATAGACTTTTGGAGTGTAGTTGCCAGAATTGAATGGAACCAAATATGTGGAACCAAAGTAGAAGCCATGGCTGTGAGTAACTTTAAACAAGGTGAACATTTTCATTTTTTTGTGTTTTTTTTCAGAAAATGTTCCAGTGTGCACGCAGAAAACAAAATGAACATTTGACACAGTCCTAAGCTTCAGTTTTCTTGTCATGGCTTCCACTCTGGATGTCATATGAGTAATTGTACGAAATGAATATTAAAAAAAAAAAGGAAAAAAGTGTATCATTTTTAAGTTCCTTAAATTTCAGATAGCACCTTGAAACAACACAGTTGTCCAAGATCAGCCAAGAATCTGTTCCAATAAGAGGCCAGAAAATAAATCTGTAAAATCTTTCCATGAAGAAAATTCCATTCCTTTTGGATAAATACAATCTGGAATAGAATAGAATAGAAAATACTCCAAAACCAAATGAGGTTAAGAGGAGGTGCATAGCAGTCAACTAACAATCACTGGTACACTTGCATTATTGGGAAATTTACCCTTTAAGACTGCTGATTGTTAAACATTAATGTGAACCAGCATAAAAGCCCTACACTATGTCAGTGTGCCTCAAACAGGTTAAAAAATCTCCAGTATGTGGCTGTGTGTGAGAGAGAGACAGATTTTATAAAAATGTTGTGACGATTTTATCTTTAAAAGTAGTAGATAATTATTTTGAATATGAATAATAAATGATAGTCACTCCTTATTTCTCCAAATAATGTGGCAACTGAGAAGTAATACAATATCCTCATGGGACTGGCAAGGAGGTCTACAGTTATGGATATACTTCAGATTATTAAAATGATTATTATAGGGGGAAAATATATTTGCATTTTCATAATGTTCGCTTCAAGGTACATGTTGCATAGCTCTCGCTATAGAGCTGGGCAAGGTTTTGTTAATGTAAAATTCTACGCTATGATTTTGGAATTTCAGCCCGCTCATTACAATGCATTCTTTGTCTCTGTACTTCCCTTCTCATCTTTCACTGCCTTCAAAGGACCCCATCTCTTGCAACCCCATGGTTAAAATACCTTTCATCTGACAGTCCCAGTTTATAGCCTATTTCTAGAGAGCTCTGCAACAAGAATCTTAATCCAGCAACTTGCATCAGGAATGCGCATGGCAGAGACTCTCTGACTGTGACTCTAAAGCCTCTTGTCTGCCTAGCACATTGCTCACATCCCTCACACTCCACCCTTGGTCCCATTTCTATAGACACATATGAGTTTCCAGATCCTGCAGCCTTCTCTGACACTCAACTCCATGTTCCATTTGATAAAAACACATTTCAATGCCAGTCTGGTTAGCTTTGGTATGTAAAATATTGGGGGGAATGTTGTCTTTCGTATCAATAACACCTCTGGTAAGTAATTAATGCCAAAAAGCCCTTGAGAATGACTGAAAAATGGGGAATGCTACCACAGGTGTGCCTGTTTTGACACCCCATTTCCCTACGGTGGCAGTTCCAGATTCTGATTACCCTTCAAGGGGCAGATTTTATCTGGGATTCAGAAACTGATGATCCATACACTTTAAATGAAATAGGCTGGCCCAAGAATGCCTTCCATGTGTGCCTTACTAAGTGTTAAATGGCTTTGTAGATGCCACATCAATAAAGATAAGTATTCCTTGAGATTGTGAAAAATCTGTTTGGCTTCATATGACACAAATGCAGTGACTTCAGTAAAAATCTTTTGTATCCAAAGAATGGGTGAACACATCCAGGCTAAGCTAGATTTCCTGCTTTTAACCAATAAGATGAGATAACAAGTCTGCCCCTTTGCATCCCCTGAAGCTAGCTGACTCCTTTCATGTGATCATTTCTGTTTTCCAGATTATCCTTAAGAATTGAGCCAGGAAACAGTTCCCCAAGACTGGTGTCATCAAAAGAAGATCTTGCAGGTACACAATACATTTCAAAATGCTGCACTATTCTGCCGTTCAACCCTGCAATTTCACAAGCATTCTTCTATCAGTTGGGACTGTTCACCGGAGTTTTCTATTCTAAGGTCACCATCTTTCTACAAAACCATCCTGATGTCTGCTTGCGGTCATGACCACACTTCAATCTGTTTATTTTAGCTTTGCAGCACATTGCAGATGTCGAGGAACTATTTCCAGTGTAGTTAAAGCTCAGATTCCACCGTGAAATATTAGAGCAGCTTTTAATATTCAGAGCTGTTCTGCTGAATCTGTGCTTTTCAGTTGTCCTTCCAGTATCCACTGAGTAGTACAGCTGGTAAGACACAGATGGGCAGATAGATAAATCATCTGATCACCAGATTGAGATTCTCTCCTAGAAATAAAGCCAAATTTTGGTTAGGTGGAATATTTACCTGAGAATGCTTGGCCATCGTTGTTCAGTTTGTGAATGTACAAAAATAGGTTTTGGATAGGTTTGTGTGCATTAAAGCTCTCCATTGCTAGACAAACAACTCAGCTGGAACACCTTTAGAAAATTATACAAATAATGTGCTGAGAGAGTACATAGAAACCATATAATCAGTAGTAACAGCAACAGCAGTGGACTTAACAAAAGCTTTATTAGTTGATAGTATTTCCTTAAAATACTGCGTTTTAATTTTAAAGTAGAACTCATGGCAGCCTACTCAGGGTTACCAAATAAATCTTATGTCAAGGTGGTAGATATACTATAGCTAATTTATAATAATTAACTACAATCTTCTTCGTATTTAGCAAGAACAAAAAGGATTTGCCATTTAATTTTCTTAAGAAGGTAACCCTACACTGATAAGACAGATCACTTGAGAAAAAATATAGCAAAGTTCTTATTTCAGTCTACATTTTGGAGATTTGCTATGGTCTTTCCTCACTGTATAACCTACAGTGCAATATTCATTCTCCAATTATTCTGCTAATTATCTTCATTCCCAAGAATGTCTCTAGGGTTCTCACGGGAATCCATGGACATTCTTAAAATGGGACTTGCCTCAATAAAAGATAAACTGAGAGGGGAAGGAAAGGGAAAACAGAGAGTGTGGTGTTGGATCATCCACACTATTTCCTGTAAATAAAAGGATGTTTATGACTGGACAGTCTACCATAGAGCCGTTTTATAAATAGGAAAGCCTAGAGGTAACAACGGTAACATTTGAGAATTTCTACCCTATGCCTATGCCCTATGATGGATGGATGGATGGATGGATGGATGGATGGATGGATGGATGGATGGATGGATGGATGGATGGATATATTCTGAAAAGGGATGGGTTCCCTGATTCAACTATTTTTAAAACTGTATTCTTTAATGAAGAAGGAGGCCCTCCAAAATAGCTTATGCACAGTTAGAAAATCAGAGGTTCTGCCAATAGGCTTTTAATCTTAAAAATGACTCCGAAGGAAAAGGTGATAGGAAAGGAAAAGAAAAACCAGCAAGCTTAGTCACCAGTTTTTGAAATTCTAGGGAGTCAGAATAATATATGTAAAAGTCTATTTTCTTCAGGATTTCTGTGCTTGGTGAAGATCCTTCTGTGGAAGGTGATAAGCTTAATCCAGACCTTGAATTCCCTCCAACCCTTTATCTTTCAAGTGCAGCTCTACACATAGTCACACATACACACACACACAAGACTAACTGTGCCCAAATGTTTCTGAGACTGGGGCTTGACCAGAAAGGTTTGGCATTGGTAGGAGTTTAGCTAGCCAAGTCTACCTCCTTCCTGGCCCCAGGCACCACCCTGGAACCATTCTGGGTGGCATTCCTTCAGAGCCTCTTTGTTAAGCTGATTTCCACAGTGTCTCCTACTGGCCTGGCAGAAGGTAGCGTGGCTGCTTTTTAACTGCTGCTACGTAAAAGAGCATAATCATGGGATTGAAAAATCATTTCTCTCACCACCAGACTGCATGGAGCACACTCACTACTCAGAATATGCAAGACAAACCAATCTGTGCCTCTGACATTCCAATAAATATTTAAGCGATGCTTCTCCTGGGGGCTATCTGGATGGCTGTTCCATGAAAAATCAATCTTATAGGCGTGCCAACGTGCCAGCGTTCACACCGTTGTTAGCTTCTTCAATCAATTGAATCTAGCAAATGTTTACTCATGCTTAATCTTTGCACTGCAAAGCCACCTGTTACATCTGAGCACATTAGAATGTGCTATCTTGGTTTCCCGTTTGCTCAGATTGATGGGATCTCATACAAACCTGGTTCCCATAGCTTGTGGAAACTATATGATACCTGTCTCCTGAATCTATGCTGTTGAACAAACCTGTGTGTCAGTGAAGGATTATCCTCAGCATATGGAAGTTAAAATATAGTGGAAATATCTTTTATTCCTGGCCTATTCTTCTCAGAATAACAATACACTGTTCCTGCTATTGTTCATTAATTCATGCAACAGCAGAAAGGCAATGTTGATAAAGGAGAGCATCTTGCAAAGAAGGTACTGCAGACTATATCTCTAACAAAATGATGTCAGTAGTTGAAAGGGACTGGTGGTGAGAACATTTCTTTTTGCTGTAAATCCTGTTTTCAAGAGCTATTCTCTTCAGAGGGAGTGGAGTATATTAGCCATGAATTGTCTGATGTCTTGCTTTAACCTTGATTCTGTCATGAGCTCATGGTTTGGTTTGGTTTTTTAAGATGAGTTGTTGCATCTTGGCCTCAACATACGTGTCCCATTTGCAATAGGGAGAAATAAAACGATCTAATCATCACAGTCCAAGATAAGCTTTACAAGCATATCTCCATTAATGCTAATATTTTTCTTTTAATCAGGATCTTGGTGGAGATCCAGGTCCGCTCTGAAGGTAGACAGCAATGGCCTCAAAGAAGAATAATGTTGGGCCCTCATAGATTAAAACCAGAATCTGAATTAGGCCTGGGTTTGAAATGATAGCTTTCTTCTTTGTCACTATTGTCCATTCCCCATGATTTCTCATAAGCACCACATCTTACTCTAGACTTCATATAAATGATCCCTATCATCTGTGATTGCCACTTGTTTAAGAGTCCAAATAGCAATGCGGTCTCCTGCTTCTGCATGTGTGGCAAACAAAAATGAGGCATGCTCTGAGTTCCTAATTTTTTCTAATTCAGAAGCTCAATATGGAACATGAGAAATCTATATAAATATGTCTCTAAACCAGACTAAACAAATCAGAACATGCAAACCGATACGGTAGCCATGATCTTGAAGGCATTTTCTTGATATGTCAGATTTTGCCACATTGGCAGAAAAAGAGTTACCTTCAAATGCTGGTGTAAAACATGGAAAAGGATTTTGCTGGATACTTAGAGATTTAAAAGGCGGTTTATACGATTTGCTCGTAACTGAATGGAAATTTGTTGAATGTATTTCTTGCAAGAAGAGATTACTGGTTTTAGAAAGCATCTCTGCTTTGGAATGCTGTTTTTCCATTTTTTTTCTGTATCGCTGGAGCTATTCTCTGATTGTCAGTTACTTCAAAGCAATGGTCAGTGTGGTGCTATGAAATTAGACATGTGCGTGTATACACACGTACAGCTCCACTGAAGAAAATTTTGTAACCATCCTGAAGTACAATACGGATCTGTAACATATATAGGAAAATCCCAAATGCACAGAAGAACTAGAGAATAATCCATTTGTAACTGTTGTTACTGGTGATTTAGCTTACTAGCTGTGCTAATAGTTGAGAAAGAAATTCATCATTCAGATTATATCCAATTTGAATAGAATCAAATTTACTGATGAACTGTATGCTAAAACCTCCTTTTGAAGTTTGATACTCCCAGGTCAGCAGGAGCCTGTAAGTAGGCTGAAAAATTACCCACCCACCAACCCACAGCCCACACACACAACCCATATTTCAGAATGTTGCCATCTTTTTAATGTCAGCTTATATTCATTTCTGCTCTTGGACTGAGACTACCCTGTTTCTTCCATGGATTCACTAGGCGTTGGCTTATATCATGAGCTCCTGGAGTCTGGTTGTGGTCTACCCTGAATAGGTATGGAGGTAGAGTTGGCACTAATGTGTTCTAAGGTCTAATTTTGGAGTTTGAAGAAGAGGGTCTGCTCAGTAGCCATCGTAAATTAAACAGCTGTCCTTGCTGAAGTTCACCCTCCACAGAGCCTACTTTTGGTGCCTCAGAAGCTACTCTTATGATAGTTTGCCAACAGGAAAGCTTCCAGTTCTGTTCCTAGGTGAAATCCACTGGGCCATTTTCCAGTTTAGCCTGAAAGAGTTCCTCTCTCATTACAGCAACTGCAAGGGGAAGAGCTTGGACAAACTGCAGCATCAGAGAATGACTTAGATCTCTCTCTTGCTATGATGGGGCCCTGACCAATTCTGAGAATTCTTCTTGCTGTTGGCCCCCAATGCAAGCTTCCTTTACTGTTCTCAAGTAGAGCCCTGTAGAAATTATAACCCAGGAACAATAAATTGAACTAGATCTCAAAACAAGAACTTCTGTCATAAAAGAATCCCAAATTATCACGTTTTGGCCGTGATGGAGTCTTTCTGTATGAATTTAGGAAACAACCTAGGACAGGACTGATTTAGGCTGAATTGCTCCTGAATGTTCCACCCACGTTTTCAAGCTATATCATTTTACCCAAATAAACTGTTGGTAACACCTGTTGAGAATTGGCTTCACACTCTCCTCTCCTACATATTTCTTTTGCTTCCTCGTTCTGGTTCTGCTGGCCACTTCAGCCTTTGCAGACGATCCTATCATTTCATTTCCTTACCCGGCTGTCTATCAGAAGCTGTCTCTTATATGTAATTTTGGTTTTTGCCCGGCTGGAAAGCTTTACTCTGTTGCCAAGATAATGAATGCATTGGGAGTATGTGTCCATTAAATGACCAACAATTATAGACCATAAAAATATTGGTAAATTGAATTCAGGACTGGACATTTGTGTAGATTAAATGCATGGGTGACATAAGCTG